AAAAAGTGTTGTATCATACTGTAAAAACTTTGCAAACATTAAAAAAGTGTTGTATCACACTGTAAAACTTTGGAAACATTAAAAAAGTGTTGTATCATACTGTAAAAACTTTGCAAACATTACCGTAACATTCATTTTTCATCATGCTTAAAGAACTTGTCACACATAAAATACATATTACACGACACTGTAAAAACTTTGTACACTAACGTACATTTTGCTTCAGATCATAATCTTTTACGTACGTTAATATGCATTTTGCATTACACTGTAACAAACATTACATACAATAAGATTTATTTTGTATTACACTGTAAGAACTGTAAATCTTAAAATGCATTTTTTCTCTTAGTCAGTGCTGCCCCCTGGCAACTAAAACTTATTTTCATAGTTTCATCAGATTATTTCTTGTTGATTTAAAATTACATGAAATGTGCGTGAACATATTTTACATTCTATAATTTATTAGTTTTAAGCCTAACCTGCTTTTTGCTATCGACAATATTTGAATAGTAACAAAATATTAAAAATTTTAACAATAAATCTTACAAATTTTGGGAAGTTATAAATTCATTTCATTAGTATAAATCAAAAAAATATGCTTTTCCATACAACACCTCTTTCTCAAAGGGTAATTACTGGCTTATCCTTACACTCACAAAGACTAACACCTGATAGAAAGTTTGTTTGTTTTATTGTTTAAGGTGCAACCTGCAGCATTCTGCACTTTACCAACCACATGGACTGAACCCTTAATGTTACTGCTCAATAAGACTATGACAGACATTTTGTTTATTTACTATCAAAAACAAAGCTGCATAATGGGCAATCTGTGCTGTACGTAACACATTGATTGAACCTTGAATTTTAATGTTAAAAGCCCTCACGCTTACTACTAAGCAACAAAAATTGATCCTGACAGAAAGAAGCTTACTACAACACTTAGGTTTTAGCAGTGTTACTATCTATGCTGGCAATTTTAACACTTTTAAGACACAGCCTCGAAATCTGGACGAAGCTCAACATTTTGATTCTTAGTGTCTAGAACACATAATTTCTTGGTGAAGCAACACTCTGCAAGAGTTCCTTAGCCATTAAGGTGCCAATTAATAAAACTTGCATATGATCTAAAAATATTTCAAATTAGAAAATATTATTGAGATTAAAATAAACTTTAACAAAGTCACATTGCTGAAACTAAATTTTCTACTTCAATTCTCATACTTGTCAGCATTCTATCTGCTTCTCATTGATTTTGTGTGGTTCCCAAGGCAATTCTCAGCCAAGCGTACCTGTTTCAGAATTTCCATTGTCAAATGTAAACACACAATAGGTTTTTATGTTCTATAATCACATTACTATTAAAACCACATTTGAAAACATCAATATTCACTATACATTTTTTATACATAGGGTTACTCTAAGTTTATCCACTGATACTTATTACTCTCTTCTGACATTTTTTTTATTCAACTAATTACTATGATAAGAGTACAAATAAGCTTTGTAAAAAATGATAAATCTCTGTCCAACAAGTCTGAATTTAGTCAGTGTTTAAATCAAGTTAATTTAAGGCCCTCAGCTAATCAGACAGACCGGAATAAGCTATGATACACAACTCACTATTTAAATTTAATTATTTTGAAGCCCTCAGATACTCAGGTAGATTAATCTTGATAACATCTATCCAACAAGCCTGAGTATAGACACTGTTTAGATCTGGTTAACTTAAAACCTTTATATACTTGAAGAACTTAACTATGGTAAACTATGGTCAACAAGTCTGAGTTCAGACACTGTTTAGATCTGGTTAACTTAAAACCTTTATATACTTGAAGAACCTAACTATACTATCCTTGATGAGTCTGAGTTTGATGGCTGTTTAGATCTGGTTAACTTAAAACCTTCATATACTTGAAGAACCTAACTATACTATCCTTGATGAGTCTGAGTTTGATGGCTGTTTAGATCTGGTT